TCTGCAAAATCTGCTCCCTTCAAAAAGAAAAAAAACACCTTACTTCCTGTTGCAAAGAGCTTTCGAAGATGTAAGCCACACCACTTCCCTGGCTTGCAGAAAGGCGTCTCCAGCCCAACAGCTGCAAAAGTGTGAACCCTGCCACCTGCTTCAGCGAGGTGTTAACCCCAGGGCCTATGCACACAAACTTCTGGAGTCAGGGCTCAAAAAAAGATATTTCACACTATTTACTATGGTGACAAGCACAAATCTCTGTATAAAAAAAGCAGAGGGGAAATATTTAAGATCATATTCATCCCTGGTAACTCTACCAGACACCATAGTGACCCATGGACAGGTAGATCAATCCTTATATAAGATGACCTGCAAAGAAAAAAGGACGGGGTTTTTGAAATGGTTCATGTTGTAATACAAGGTGTGAATATGGAAGATTTATTTGCGACTTATTTTTCTTTCACTTCAGTAGTATCAGAACTATCACAGCTTGAGTTTGCTTAGGTTTGATGGAGGTCACTTTGGAGGTTTTTCACCTTGCTTTAGAAGTAATTTGCTAAAACGTGCTAAAAGCCTCGTGTAAACTAGATAGTGCACCTGTGAGCTTGTGTGCACTGGAAAATGACCTCAAGTTGTAACTCCAGCATTGTACCTAACTTGTATCCTGTCCACACTGGAAAACATTTAATTCCAGCAAGGTGGTGGCATTTTTATCTGGAGTTGGCTGGCCTGAGGAAGGATACAGACTAGAGTCTGAGACGGCACTATTCTCAGGAGCTTAGCATCACCACTCAGTAGTGCAGACACAGGATAATTCCATCTGATTGTTTCCAAAGCATTCCCATGATTGCTACCACTGCTCAGAAAGAACAGAAAAGTTCTTCCACCATGTACTAGGAAAGAACTCACAGAGGAGCAGCTTAGCACAGCACAAAAAACTAGGGGATGTAGGGCTGGCCTTACCAGGAGGCAAACTGAGGCAGCCCCCTCAGATGCCAGACTGTGGGGGGGGGGCACCACTAGGACCCAGAGTGTAGAAAATTGTGTCTGCTGCTGGTGCATATGTATTCTGTCTGCTCTAGATGCACAGAGATGGTGGAGTGCCATGAGAGGAATAGAACAGGAAGAATTGAGACCATTCAAAGTTTTGGCCCAAGCGAGAGGACATGGGGGCGTCATTTGAGTTCCCCGCATCAGGTGCCAAAATAGTGGGCCAGCTCTGAGGGGATGTGCACTCGGAAATTTTCATACCCCATGCAAGTGACTGTAGCACCAGTGGGGGGGCAGCAACTCAAGGGTCATTGCAGTGTGATCACTTAGGCCAGGTCAACACTAAAAGTGAAGTTGACTCACCTACTTCCCTCAGGGGTGTGAAAATTCCACAACCCGGAGCAACGCAGTTAAACTGACCTAAGTCCCATTGTAGACCAAGCTTCTTGGGGTGGGTTGGAGTCGGGACCAGATTACCTAGCACAGTGGGAGAAACCCTACCCTCAGTGGAGTTAATGTTCATACTGGAGTGCTGCAGCTGAGCTGCTGTAATGTTTCCAATGTAGATGTAGATAAGGTTACAATCTAGCTTGACTGATGCTAGCTTGAGAGAAGTAACTCAAGTGTAGATAACTCGAGCCATGGTCTTTAACATGAATTAAACTGGATGAATTTCTAGACTTTAACTCACTTCTTTAGTTGCAATAGTCTGTTCAGACATTAGCTAACCTTCCAAATCCTAATCTAGATAAAGGCCCTAGATATGGATCTTGAATTTTCTTGGCCTGTAAAAAAAAGGGGGTGGGATGGGTATGGGACTGAGTCTTTAACAAAGAGAGCTTTAGTTCCAATTATTTATCCAAGCATTTGAGTTAAACACGTGTTGGGCAGACACAAATTCTAAAGAAAGAATGTTAAGAACACACTCTTATTTAATCAGGTTCCACTTGCATGCGGTCTGTGATGCCACATTCATACTAACCCTCCAGTTATCCTGAGATATTTTCAGGAAAAATAGGGCAGAGACGACCAGAATTTATAATGCCAAAACACAAAGCAAACCACCAGCCCAAACATTTCAGGTCCTCCATACACCCGAAAGGGGCAAAAGTTGAGTTTTCCTTCTCTGTTTCAGAGATCATCTTTATGAGGCATCCCTCATTTGATGCATCACCTGTTTTAGCCTTAAGGGGTTAGCCAAAATTTAGGCTAATGCTGTTTCATTTAGTAAGGAAAACTTCTGGTGGAGCAGGTAGGTATCTTTGATGCAGTCTTGTTTATTTACAAAGAAAGTAAAAAGTCCAGTTTCTCTGAGCACAGGAAGAATAAAAAAGCAGGATAGGGATGTTAAATTTAGATTAACTAATCTAACAGTCGATGGGATTTCCATCAATTACTCAATTAGTCAATAAGGGCACCTCCACTTTTGGACACCTACCAGGCTCTTGCTACAGTTTAAAATGCAGAAGCCCCGCACTCCCTATGGTGCCTCAGGCTTTGAAATGTACAAGAGGCCCACTAGGGCTCTTGTACATTTTAAAAGCAGAATCACAGCAGAAGTGGTGCAAGCAGAGAATGCTTCAGTCCCCACTCACGCTGTTTCCAGTTGTGCCTCTATCTCCCCTGCCCCTCCGGAGATAGTGCTGGGAGGAACCAGCTTTTAAGCCAACTCCCCCAAACACCAGTTCCTGCTCCCCGCCTTGCTGCTTCCCTGATAGAGGGAAAGGGGAGAAGTGACTAGTCTCATCACTAGTTGACCAGTTGCTTACATCCCTACAGCAGGACACACTTTCTTTGAACACAGCTTCAAGCCCCTTTCTAGCCAGAACTCATCCCAAAAACATTTTTTGTTTTTCTCCTCAGGTCTACACCACCAAGGCTTCTGTTGTCATGTCTGATGCTACCTTGTTGCCAGTTCTCTGTGTTTCACTGGTCTTTCTGCCTCTCTCTCACAGACACACAAACACTCAGCAAAACCCAAATGTGCCTTTTTTGGGTGGTGCCATGTTCCTGTGTTTTTGGATGGGGGTTGTTATTGTTTCAGCTATGTGGTTCAATAAAGGAGGGAAACTCTCTCTTACCTTTATCTCAAATGAAAACTGGCTGTTACACCCACTGGTTTCAAAGAAGTTTAAAATAACCCACACTAACACCATGACCCATATCCAATAAGAAGCTGTTCTAACAAGTGTCCACTCAGGTTTCCAAGCACTGATCACACAGTGGCACACTGTCTGATCAAGTAAAAGAGAGTGGGGGGTCCTTTAAGACAAAGCTCCATCCTTTATTTTTCTGGCCATTCTCCTTTACTTCCATGAAATGGTCCTCTCACGACCTGCTCATATTTCCTTGAATTCTACTTCAAGTCATTGGAGATTATGACAATGGAATTAAATTACCACTCTTGGTCCTGAAATTGTAAAACTTCTTACTCAATGATCTGTAAATTCTTTGCAAACACATACATTAGCCTCCAAGATAGTTTGTTTTATTTCCAGTTGGTTTTCACAGCAGAGAAAACTGCAGCACAAAAAGGGTACTTAGCATTTCCAGTTCCACAGACAGGAACAGAACCCAAGAATCTCAATTCCTCTTCCACTGTAGCTATAATCAGAACACATTCACTCTTCAAAGGTCCTGTAGTCACTCAGGCTCCGTTTACACTGCACACTTATTTTGGAATAAGCTATTCCAGAAGAAATACTCCAAAATAGCTTATCATATATATAGTAGCCCAGTGTCTGAGTCTAACACCGAAATGCTGGCTGTTCCCTCTGAGGGGCGCTGTTGCCTGAAATGCTGGCTGTTCCCTCTGGGCAGCCCATGCTGCATGGGGAATGCGGGGCCCAAACGGCGCAGTAGTCAGCCGAGCACCACGGTGGGAAGGGAAGGGGGGGGCGGTGATGTGCAGAGTGACTGCGGCTCCAGGCCCCGCACCCTGGCTGTGAACATCACCGTCCTGCCCCCCTTCAACTCCCGCCATGGCGCTCAGCTGACTTCTGCGCCGCTCAGATGGGCCGCCGCATGGGAGCAAGTGACGCAAGCGACCGTTTGGGCTCCGCACTCCCCCGAGTGAGAGGCAGGATGGGGAGGAGAATATAAAGAGAGAGACAGAGAGAAAGGCAGGAGACGGAGAAGAGCTGAGAGAGAGCGGGGGGGGAGGCAGTAGGAGGAGGAGGAGAGAGAGAGAGAGACAGAGCGAGAGACTGGAGGCTCAGGAGAGAAAACCGACATGGAGTAGAGACCTGAAAAACAGGCTATTTGGCTAGTTTTGAAATAGCACATATACAGTACAGGGAAGCCTTGAAATTAGTCCACAGCAGGCCCCCTTAATGTGCACGCGCTACCTCGATTTAGAACAGGAAGCACTGGGAGTAATTATTTTGAATGGCCTGTGGGAGGAACTATTTTGAAATAGCAGTAGTGGAGTGTCCACACTACTGATATTCCGAAATAGCTATTTCGGAAGAAGTATTAGTCCTTGTGAAAATGAGGTTTACAAAATCCGGACTAAGCAGCTTGTTATTTCAATATTATTTCAAAACAGAATTGCTGTGTAGACACTTGCAAAGTTATTTCGAAATAACATTCATTATTCTGAAATAACACTGCTGTGTAGACGAACCCTCAGTGAGGGCCTGATCCAAAGTCCAGTGCAGTCAATGGAAATCTTTTCTAGCAATTTCAATGGGCTTGGGATCAGGCCCTGTATCAGCATCACAAAGCTATTCTAATAGACTAATCGTAGGAGACTTTGACCATGAACATGGAGAAACCCTACAGGTCTGTTACCATCACAATACAGCACTGTTAGAGGCAGGCCACTGCTTGAGGCTGGATAGAGGACTAGAAGCCACCAGGCCACTGCTATAAAACCAGGATTCTTACTGCTATTGTGCAAAAGGATCGCCCAGCCAAAAATCCCTGCTACGCTTAAGGCTGTGACACTAGACACTCTTCTGTCCTTATCCCCTGCAGTTCTGGGCAGCTCCACATCAGTAAAGAAGCCAAAGAGGGAAAGTTCAGAAGCTTTTTATTTGTATAGAATCGATAAGGACACCAAACACTCCATGATAACCTTTCCCTTGTGCTAAGGAGCTCAAAGGTTGCCTAATACGTAGGGTGTAGGTTCTGTACAGAAGGCCTTATATTTGTGTGTAACTAGTTAAAAATAAACTCTAGGATCTATAAACAAAACCTGTGCTCTGCAGACTGCAGCACCCTCCCCCATCCACTCCCTTCCTTCCTTTTTGGGTGAAAGGATCACATTTCAAAGGAGGAGGAGCTGTGGGGCTCTCCTAGGTGTAACCCCTGATGTCCATGGTCAGGTTTTCCCATCTTCCTCTTGTCACTCTTTAATTTTTCAAATTCAAAAGGAGCATCAAAGTCTTTTCGAGACAGCTTCCCCAGGTTTTTTAGAGTGGCCAAATGTGCTGATGTCAAGACCTTCAACACTCTGCCAGGCAGAGCCGAAAGTTCATTTTGGTTTACATTTGCCGTCTGCATTTCTACACATCAATGGATACAAAAGGGCAAAGGTCAACACAAGGCCCTCTGTGCTCTTTCAATGGATTTTTTTTCTCCTGTGATCGTAAAAAACAACATTCAAGTAATACAGAAAATACGTATCATGCACCAAAAACATGCATGACTGAGTCAAACGACCTTCAAACAATGAATTGCAGCCTTTGCTCATTACGGTTTCTTAGGGAAATATTGATAATAAGCGTCCTGCAGGAAAGGTGGAGACTAGAGGAGCTGTTTTAAGAGCTTTCCAGAGCCGGTACTTTTAGAACATTCATTATCGTGACTTCTAGTGGGTGAGGCTGGGAGCATTCCCATAACTAATATTTTTACACCATCCTCTTCTCTGATTCCTCTTGATGCTGGACCTAGAGCAATTTAGAAATTCTCTTTTCAGTCTGTCAAAAACTATCCCATGTAAAATACTCAAGATCAAATGGCCCTGTAGGGTGCAAATGTCTCTTTATACCAGTGGTCCCCAACCTTTTGAGGTTGTCGGGCGCCAGGGGGAGTGGCCGTTCGCCCGCCGGGCGCCAGGGGGCGGGGACACTTGCGCCCCGGGGCCGGCGCTCCCCCCGCCATGCGCCCGGTGCCAGGCCAGCCCCGAGCACCTGGCGGGCGCATGGAAATGCCCCCGCGGGCGCCCGCGGGCACCGTGTTGGGGACCACGGCTTTATACAGATGTTCGGATGTGAACTGTGGTTAAGCTACAGCAGAGGCGCCGCGCCATGTGCCCGGGGCCAGGCCAGCCCCGAGCACCTGGCGGGCGCATGCAAATGCCCCCGCGGGCGCCCGCGGGCACCGTGTTGGGGACCACGGCTTTATACAGATGTTCGGATGTGAACTGTGGTTAAGCTACAGCAGAGGCCCTTCACATACATGTACACAGAAACTTAAGCAGTTTCGGAAGATCTCTAATTATATCAGAGGTTTCAATATCAGAGCAGCTGATGGCACTGGAACCCAAACATCTTATTCTTTCAGCTGATGGCAATGTTCTTGGATGCACATACCATCTCAGGTCCCTTTTGCTCTCATCCTCACACTGATAAACTGTCACGGGGGTGGGATGGGGGATTTACATCAAGAAATCAGCTGCTTTGGCAAGTCCCGCTCTGAAAGGATCGCCTTCACCTTCTCCACAATGGTCCATACTTCCGCCATGGCACCTCGACCTGGAGAGCAAAGTGACACAGACAGTAAAACTCAGGTCCCAGAAGGCTGCATGCTGAGCATTGATATACCACAAGTCCAGCTGAAATTTGGCCTTCCCATCCACACAACAGTGCAATGTGCCAGTGCATTTTCTAAGCAGTGTGTTACAGCGAGTTAGACCAGATATGCTGGCAGGACGCAAGGCTACAGTGAAGACCGGCTTCCACTGACAAATTCCAAGGGGACAGTCACTGCCACAAATTGTGTATCCTCATGGGTAGCCCACATGATTTCCACAGTGACCTGAACTCCAGAAAGCAACTATGTTCCATATGGGCAGAGGAAAAATACCCCAAACAAGCCACACAAACTCCTCAGTTCGCTAGGGTCTAAATGGAGTGTGTGTTCTGGTTAAATGTCAATTGTCTGATTACAAAAGTTGAGTGGAAATGACCAAAACAAATTAATGTGAGTCAAATGTTTTCATTTCACTTTATTTTGCAATCCAGGTTTTTTTTTGTGAATTCTCTGCAAAATGGGCATTTTCTCTGTGTCAAAAACACGAACACTTTGAACGTTTGTTTGCTTTCAATGCACAAAGAAATGAAGACTATTTGAAAATTGTCCTGACTTTACTTTGGCTTGTATCCTGAACTAATTCTTGGAAATGTAACAAGAACAAAAATGTAAAAACTCATCCTTTGGGATTAGTTACTTGCCAGATGTGCACAAATCTTTCAATGGAGATGTTGCATTCACTCCTGAAGTCTTTTTCCACAGATTCATAACTTTCAAAAATTTTCAGGCCCGAAGGGATCATTGGGCAATCTAGTCTGACCTGCTGTCAAACACAGGCCATAGAATTTTATCCTGAATTTAAAGAAGTAACTTGTGTTTGGCTAAAGCATATCTTCCAGAAAGGCTCCAGTCTTTGTGTGAGGACTTCAAAGCTAGAGAATCCATCCCTTTCCTTAGTAATTTGTTCCAAAGGTTAATCACTTTCACTGTTAAAAAGTATGTCTTATTTCTAATTTACAATTTAATTATCCAATTTCTATGTGTTACCTAGTTCCCAATTAGAAATTAGTTACCTTCGACTCGGTTTAGGAAGGAAAAGAACGGTTACTTACCTGTAACTGTTGTTCTTCGCGATGTGTTGCTCATGTCCATTCAAATAAGGTGTGCGCACCACGTGCACCATCTCTCCAGAGCATTTTCTCAAGCGGTATCCATAGCGCCAGCAGGTCGCCCCCTGGAGTGGCGCCGCTATAGCAAAGCATAAGTACCCCTGCCAGCGCTCCCCTTCCTCAGTTCCTTCTTGCCGGACACTCCGACGAAGGGGAAATAGGGGGGAATTGAATGGACATGAGCAACACATCTCGAAGAACAACAGTTCTTTTCTTCTTCGAGTATGTCCATTCGAATAAGGTGACTTCCAAGCTAACCGCACTTTATGGAGGAGAGGTCGGTGCACCCAGAAAGACAAGCAAATGAAGGTTGAATAACCCAAAACATATTTATTCAACTAACAGAACACAGAGAACCGATCGAAAGATGCAATGTGGTACAGAAACAAACACAGTGACAACACACAACTGAGGACCGCAGAACCTGCATTCTCCCTGGCCTGCTGTGTCAGCGCATAGTTCCCATAGTGCATCGTAAAGGTGTGTACTGACGACCACGTGGCCGCCCTGCAGATTTCAGTAATCGGAACCTGCACTCCAAAGGCTACATAGGATGCCTGCGCCCTGGTGGAATGTGCTGTAACCCGGGGTGGAACTTTCTGGGCCAAGTCATAACACTCCCTGATACACCCCGTGACCCAATTAGACTTCTACTCTAGTACTGTTCAGACTCATAATTCCCAAGAGGTGAACTCCCCTTGGTGGATTGCATTATAGAGAAGACACAGGCAGGCTTGTGTGTTACTCTCTATACTGTCTAACTCTAAACAGGTGGAGCAGCACCCACCAGATATGGACAAGAGACAGTCTCTTGGATTGCCCCCTTACCAGGGGCGACATATGGGAGTGGGGAACATGAGGGTCACGTGTCTTCCTAGATTTCTCCTTCCCATTTCCAGACAAGCATCCACCAGTACTACAGAGCTTGCAGAGTGGAGCCATTGTAGTCCAGGTAGCTCAGCAGTAGCATTTAAGTCATGGGCTTTCCACACAGGAACCCGCCCCACCACCTTACGGTCAGGGCGCCCTTTATCCCTCTGGTCCCGGGACCCACTGGTTTTGGCCCACCCGACCCAGGACTAGAACCCACAACCCCGTGCTTCCCAGGTGAGCGCCCTATCCCCTAGGCCACGCGGAAACCCACCCCACCACCTTACTGTCAGGTTGATACAGTTGGGCAGCACCAAGGACTGGACACGGCCACTGGATCAGGCAGTAGCAGCAGACAGGGCAGGGCTGTTGCCAGTGCCTGGTGGCAGGAAACCAGATGGGGTGGGGGAGCACCAGCAGCTTTGTCACCACGTTCCCTGAACCAGCGGCAAGTGCCAGGCTCTACAGGGGCTTCAACTGTCACAAAGCCCAGGCAGAGGTGGCTCAACAAGGGAAGAGGCCCCTGAAAGAGGAGAGGTGCCATACGTGACTGCTGCTTTGGGCACAAAGCTTATGAGACGGAGCAGTCCCATCCTCTCTAGGACCAGAGTCTAGGCCAAGCGGGGTAGCAGAGGGGCAAGAAGGTCATAAGCCCCTGCCCACAGGGCTGCAGGGAAGCCTGCAAGTCCAGGACGGGAACAGGCTGGAAATCATTCCCCTGCCTGCACTGCAGCGCTTTTCTGAGAGACGGAGAGGCTCATTCGGGTGTTTCTATTTACGGTAATCCTGGGCCATGTGAGAAATTGGATGTGACAAACTGTAAGAACCCTAGCACAATGGTTAAGGCTCATGTATTTTTACAGATTTAAATAACTAACTTACATATGTGTTTGTCTGACCCTCTGTGCAGCTTGGTATTGAGTTCCCAAAGATCTCTCTATTAGAGATGCACACTATTTACCTGAGAGAACAGGAGGTGTGAAAGCCAACCCCTACTCAGCAACCACAAAGACTATTTTTAAACATCTCTTATTTTCCTGACAGATTGCTATGCAAGATGTCAAAGCACTAGAGTTCGGTATCAAACTACACAGCAGAGTTATTAAAATATTGACACAAATGTGCTTGTCCAAACAGAGTTCTACAAAGGTACTACAATGGATTTGCTTTTAGGAATAGACTGATTACGCAAAATTTGCCACAGAAACAGCATTCTTCCTCTGTCCATATATAGCTCCATTACCACAGAATCTGAATACTTCCATTTTTAAAGGATCTCTTCAAAACTCCTTTGTGAGTCGGGGACATGCTATTCTCCTTCATTATCCCCATTTTACACAGGGAGGAACTGAGCAGAGACCAAGGTCCCACAGAAAAACCTGTGGCAGAGCAGAGAACTGAAATAGGATCTCTCATGTCCCAGGACAGCACCCTAACCTTCTCTTCTCTTATCATGGATTATCAGTGGCAATATTTATTTTCCAAATCTTACGTTGATTGGAGTTATCGAAGCTAATATGACCCTCTACACCCAGATACCAACTCTGGATTTTGCTTTGGATTCCCAGAATCTCAATGAACTTTGAAAATTGGCAAGAAAAAAAAATTTTTTCCCCCAGTTGGTCAGACCCAATGTCAACACATTTCTGTCAACTTCAGCAATGGAGGGTTACAGCACAACCTAGGGATGTTAGATTTCAATTATCAACTAATCGAGTAGTTGATGGAATTTCCATTGACTACTCGATTAGTCAATAAGGGGAGGGGCGCTTGCTATCCTGCTGTGCCTCTATCTTTGAAATGTACAAGTGTCCCACAGCTCTTATACATTTCAAAGGGAAAGGTGCAGCAGTAGGGACGCCTCTGCCTCCCCTGCCCCTCCCCCCACGGAGATGGTGCTGGGGAGAACCGGCTTTTAAGTCAGCTCCCCCCCAGCACTGGCGCCTGCTCCACCTCCCCTTGCTGCCTCTCTCTCTCGAGGCAGCAAGGGGTGGGGAAGTGACTAGTTCAGTGACTACTCGACTATCCAAAAAGTTTATGCTTATCGGGTAGTCAACTAGTTCCTTACATCCCTAGCACAAACTACTTGTTCACCTCAGTGAAACAGTCGTATGATCAGCATGGGAGAAAGTGCACAGGACAGCAGCCAGAGGGCATGCTAAGGACTGACCTTCGTCCCCACACACCAGCTTCTTCACCACACAAGGGATCTCTACGTAGCCAAAGCCTCTGAGTTGCTCCACCTGCTGAGCTGTAATAGGATGCTCCCACATGGCTGTGTTCATAGCAGGGCAGAAGAGCAGGGGTTTGGTCAGGTCCCACGCACGGATGACACAGGTCTGTAAGAAAAGGACAAGAGATCCAACCCTAGTGTGTTTGTTGCCTTTCCTATTTGTCTCGCCTATCAGGCTGCCGCAGCAGCACAGAAGCTCCTTCCCAAGCTGAAGACCATTAAGGCCAGGGTACAGATACCCAAGCTTTACCCAGCCATAATAGACACTTGTCAGCAGCTTCAACAAATCGGCACTTAAATCGCATAAGATTCCAGCAGCCTCACATCTAATGGGGAAAAGGTGGGAGGGCTACAAAGAGCGCAAGTCCCAGAACAACAGGCTTCACCTTTTCTTGAGTCAAGTGAGCAGCACACTCACAGGTAGCTGGAACAGAACGTGCACAGGCCCTCAGTCTTTGGACTGTGCCTCCAGAGGGAAGCAGATGGTGGCCAAAGACTAAGGATGTTAAGTATCAACTAACTGACTAATTGAATAGTCGATGCATTTTTGCAGGGATGTTGCCACACTTCAAAGGCGAAAGTGTCCTGTGTAGCCCAGAGTCAGCTGATCCTGGGCTCCATGCGGTGCTGCTGCTTTGAAACACCACGAGGTGCCTGATGCCAGGCTCCACGCAGCGTTTCAAAGCAGCAACGCCACAGGGAGTCCGGGGTCAGTGGGGGAGTCCCTAGATGATCCTGGGCTCCACGTGCAGCCTGGGGAAACCCCAGCTGGCTCTGGGCTGCATGCGGCATTTTAAAGTGGCATGTGGCATGCATGCAGCATTTTAAAGCCATGTGCAGCCCAGGGTCTAGCCCCAGCCTTCAAGTGGCACTGCTGCTTTGACGTATTCCCCTCTTCCCCCCTGTCCTTGCTGCCTCTTTCTGATAGAAGCAGCAAGGGGGGAAGAAACTAGTCGACTATACTGTTGACTATCCAATAAGCATTTGCTTATTGGATAATAGACTAGTCCTTCACATCCCTACCATAGACCATACCATACAACTCTCGAGACTGCATCTGAGGTAAGTCTATACAGTCATTTTGCCTACATGCTTTGTCAACTGGATACATCACTCATGTAATCGAAAGAAGCATATGCATTTCTCAGACGCATCAAGAAGAAACAACTCGTTTGGCCTTTTTCAAAATATGCCCTCAACTTCCCAGCCTTCAAACGGCTTCTACATATCACAAGGGATCGCATCAGAACCCACAGTGACAGAGCAGAAGATGGCATCAGCAGCCAAATCTCCAGTGATAGCATAACATTCTGCAAAAGAGCGAACAAGTCACTGCTCTGCAGATATCCGAGACAGGGACCTCTTTAAGGAAGTGATCAAGGTAGAAACTGACCTCGTGAAATGTGTACACATTCTGGATGAAGGTAACAGGTTGTGCCATTGATAACAGCGATCAGTGCAACCCAAGACCTATTTGCAAAGTCTGAGATAATACTAAAGATGCAGATAAAGGAGGGACAACTGCCCACTCCAGTGGAGGCCAGAGATGGTTGAGAAGGAACTCTGGAACTATACCAGGAGAGAGGGAAACTGTATGTGTGGAAAGTTGTGGCCATCCTGTGTTCAGTAAACTTTTTATCAGTCTTGTCCTGTATGATGTGAACAGGCAAAGTATAATCCTCTTAGTTCTGATCCCCTCCACGCTTCCAAATGAAACACTAAAGCAGGGGCGGGAAACCTTTTTTGGGTTGGGGCCACTGACCTACAGAAAAATCAGTCAGAGGCAGGTGGCAGGAGGGTTGAAGTGCCAGCACAGGCTCCCCAATGCTGGGGGAGGCCCTAAGCCTCGGGGGTCAGATCCAGGTAACCCAGGGGCCACATACAGGAAAAGGGAATCAGCTCCTGCGTTTGGGGAAGACATACTACCAAAGAGCCACCTATTTGCCCAGGTGCCTGGAGACCAGAGATAGTTAGTTGCTCTTTAGATAGGGAAGGTTACCAAATTTAGACACAAATGCAAGTCTGCACAGGAAACGCTGTTGTAACCAGTTCCATGTTCCTCAAAAATAGTGCCCATTCGTGCACTAAATAGACACTTTCAGAGACTTTCCACGTGCTCACATAGGTGAGGCCCGTCACTCTGGCCATATTTTAGTCATTTGCAAGCACTGGGGTTTTCCTTAGCACTGGGGTTCACCCAGTTAGATTTTCTTGAGCAGAATGGCACCTGTCCATACAAATTTCCCTTTGAGATTGTGTCCTACATCCCTAGCTCCCCTTCCACTCATTTTTGAGAAGCACGGAACAGACTTCCTGTGCAGACTTGCATTTCCTGTGCAGACTTGCATTTGTGCCTAAATTTGGTAACCTTCCCTATCTAAAGAGCAACTAACTATCTCTGGTCCCCAGGCACCTGGGCAAATAGGTGGCTCTTTGGTAGTTTGTCTTCCCCAAACACAGGAGCCGATTCCCTTTTCCCACCCACCCCAGGCTTCCTGAGTACCAGAAAAACAGCACTGCCCAAAAAAAGCCTTGTGGTTGAAATTTAAATAAATGTGCAAGTATGTGTGGGCAGATGTCCATGTATGCTTTTAAGTGAGGGAGGGAGGACTGGCAGGAAGTAAACACACTTATCTGATCTCACAGGTGTCTTTCCAGACTGCATCTAAAACACAGAAAGGAAGGGGAACTGGAGATTGACAAAGTATGTGCATGTGCGATAAAGAGAGACAGTGAGAGGCTATCATGTGCAGGAGAAGTAGTAGTATCATGCATCACGCAAAGGACGAGGCGGCATTATAGGGAGAGGGGTGGTGGCGGTGGGGACACAGTAAGAGAGGGGCTGGGATATGAAAAAGGATGTGGAGAGGAAAAGAGAAAGAGGTATAATGGAGGAAGGCAGAGGAAAGAGTAGACATTATTATTATTATTATTGATTGTTTGTATAACTTTAATGCCTAAGGCATAGATCCAGGCCCTATTTTGCTAGACGCTGTACAAACAGAGAACATGGTCTTTGCCACACAGAAGCCTGTAGTCTACACATAGCCTTTTGGAAGAAGCTTTTCCGGAAGAGATCTTCCAAAAATTCTTCTTCCAAAAGAGAGAGTCCACACTGCCAAAGCGCATCGAAAAAGTGATCTGCTTTTTCGAAAGATAGCGTCCACACTGAATGAACACATTCTTGCCTTTAAGCTGTGATTACTATGAATGGAGTGATCACCAGGGCACCTGTGTTTTTTCCTCTTCTTCCAAAAGAACTCCCTCTTCCCCTTCCACACACGACTTTTTCCAAAAGAGGTATTTCTGAAAAAAGCTTTTTCCATGTAGAAAGAGGTTTACTAAGGTCAGAGAAAACCTTCTGTTCTTTCAATCTTTTTTTTTTTTTTTTTTTTGGAAAGAAGGCAATTGCAGTGTGGACACAAGTGACTTTTCTTGAAAAACGGATGTATTGCTGAAAAAACACTGCAGTGTAGACATACCCAAAGAGCTGGAATGAAAAGGAAAACAAGGCAAAGGCACAGCTGAAGAAATACAGGGATAAGGAATGAGGGAGCATGCGAGATGCCCTCAGCCAGTGTTCAGGGTGACGACTGGCCCAAATGCAGACAGTAACTTACCAGTAAATTGTCACAGATGCCATTTGCTATTTTTGCCAGTGTATTCGCATCAAGAGGAGCCACCAGCATGAGGTCAGCCCAGCGCCGCAGGTCAATATGTAGGACTGGGTCTGTACGCCCTTTCCACAGCTGCAGACAAAAGACGAGGCTGGGTCACTGAACTCGCCCAAGAGACTCGCTCATACAGAGTGCTTGGCACCATACCAACTTCACACACATAAATGTCACATCAAACCAAGGGGAAAACGTAACAGCCCCTCAGAGCAAGGCCCAATTGCAATGGGGCTCTGAGACAACCGTGCTGCTGCTGCTTCATACGTCACCCTTCACTTTTCCTGGCAGTACTATTAATACTGCAGTAGCACGTAGGAACCGCAATCACAGATCAGGGTCCTGTTGTGCTAGGCAGAGTACAGACAAACATCAAGGAAATAGACTCTGTCCCAGAGAGTTCACAATCTGCATGTTAGATATCTGCATCCCCCTGCATGCCAGCACGGGTCTCCCTCCCTGTTATGTTCACCACAGGGCATCTAGGAGTCGGAGGAACAGTTAGAAAAGCTTCCTGGTGTTTCCTGGTGACTCCTCTGCATTGAACAATCCTGGCCAAAATTCCACAGAACGCACTAGATGGGGCCAGCAAGGCCTTTCCAGGTCCAGCCTTTGTAACTCTGAGCATTCTACTAACACAAAGGGTTTGTTCTGCCCTGGGAATTCTCTGTGTGACAGGCATGGCAATTTCCTGCAGTATCCTGGACAAACCCTGTTAACTTGAGTTAAACCTTATTAAATTAAGTTTAAGTATCTTTGGAGCCCACTGTATTAAACTGCAAAATGTTTGTATTATTGTGGGATTGTACGTAACTTCACTAGGGTAGAAACATGTAAACACAGTAAGAGTCATAAGCTTCAAAGGACTGTTTTAAACAATGTGCCAGAAAGTTAGGTGGTGGTCTAGGAAATACCCGGAGGAAGACGTATAGAGTAATTGCTCCTGTATTCCCCTCTACAATCCAGCAAAGGCTTTCAGGCTTCCAAATTCCCAGCCACCACCCTGTTGGGTGGAGACACACATCTCTCTCTCCCTCCTGACTGGGCTTTTTCCAGACTTCACAGCTCTTTGCCTACACTGTGAGTTCCCCAGCAAGTCAGACTGCCTAAGCCAGCTTGCTTTGCCTTTGCCTCTGCCTCGGAGGCAAGAAACAGTATAATTGCAGGGGCATAAATTACAACACATCCTGTCCTGAGCAAGCACATTCCTTGTGAAAGCATTACAAAGAACACATTAAAAAAGTAAAAGAAAACTACACATATGTTACATACTAAGTAGTTAACTGGAGATTACCCTAATTCAAACAAGGGCTCTGACAGGTGGTTGCTCCTTCAAACTCCACCATGGGGATTTTCTGTGGTCACACATTCATATCACCTGTTAGCTCAGAACAAGCACACCCTGAATCTGACTCACCCCTTTATACAGTTTGGGTCTTTGATCTGCAGCTACGCTACCAGACAAGAGTCACCTCCTCAGGATGAAGCTTCAAAAGGCAGGGTCTCTGCACAACCAAATTGGTCATTTGCATTCACCAAGATATTTCCCGGAACCCCATTTATATTTGTCTGTCAAGCACATTGCTTAAAACATTCCTCTGGCACTCATAACACCAACAGGGTTGGAAGAGAACTCCGGAGGTCACCAAGTCCAACCCCCTGCAGGACCAACACTAACTAAATCATCCCAGCCTTTATTACACTTGCCTTGTTTCCCCCATGAGACGTTACATACAATCCACCATAATATATAAACTTGACATTTTTCATACAATAGCTTCAAACATATGTAAGCTTAATTCAAAAAGTTTAACTTAATCCAAACAGGTGTGTCCCGGATATTGCAGGCAATTGCTGTGTGTGTCACACTCTGATCACCTCCCTGGAGCACCCGAGCTGGTAAAACGTCAAAAGAAACAGCAGACGAGATGAGGTATCTTACCTCAAGAGGCCACACACAACCACAGGCCAGTGAGGGGTGTGCATCAGGGCCACAAACTGCTCAGTCTCTGAGTCACATACAACCACAACAAAGATGCAGCAGGCGGAACAGCTAGTGCTCCCCACCCTTCCCAAAGTAGGGCTCTTCACTTTTTTTTTTTAAACATTGAAGAGTCTCACTTTCTTTCTAAAGTTCTTGGTATTTAACTCTTCTGGAGTCAGGTAAAATGCAAGCGGGAGCTCTGCCTCGGACACAACTCTGCTAATGCATCTTAATCCTGACCTGCATCATTTCAGTACTGCAATCCCATACAGCACAGCCCACGTGCATCAATTCTGACCTGCAGCGCCCACTCCACTTCCAGACTTGGGGCCCAGCAGAGCTCTGCCAATGACTGGAAAGCTTTCTGCTCATTCCCGCTAACATGTCTCTCTAACAAGGAAAGCAACTTATGCTTGAGAGTGCAAAAACACAGGACTGTGCACATGGAGATGAGCAGGTCTTGTACTCACTGCAGGTGGGAAAACAGCAAAGCTGAAAGAAGAGAGATGCAGAGACTAGAATGTGGATATTTCACCCCTTTGCAGTTACAGTATCCCAAAGGGCTTTACAAGACATTGGACAAACAGCAGCCATGCGGTACCCAGCAACAACCCACACACTGTCTTAAAAAAGGGAAGCAGGTTTACAGACGAGGGGCACGTTAGCAAGTATGAACAGCCAGTCTCCCTTGCTCTGACAGAAAAGTGCTTTGGGAAGTTTAGCTCACAGAAAACTAGCAGAGAGGAGCCAAAGAGATCTTGGTTTAATATCTCTAAAGGGCTGTACAGGCAGTCCCCAACTTACGCGGATCAGACTTATGTCGGATCCGCACTTACAAACGGCGCTTTTCTCGCCCCGGAGCTCACGGGCGGCGGGTCGCCACCCGTGTCCTCCGGGGCGAGAAAAGCTTCTCCCGGTCTCCCTGGTCTGCTGGGGGGGGGGTCTAGCGGCTTTGCTGGACCCTCCCAGCAGCCCCGGGGGACAGGAGCAAAGCCGCGGAGCACGCCCGCAGGGGGACAGCTCAAGCGCGCCCGGGCTGTCCCGTTGCGGGCATGCTCCGCGTCTTTGCTCTCCGTCCCCCTGGTCTGCAGGGAGACGGGGAGCAAAGCCTTGGAGCACGCCCGCAGCGGGACAGCCCAGGCGCCGCTGCATGCGTGCTCCTCCGTCTCCCTGACCAGCAGACCAGGGAGATGGGGAGCAAAGCCTCGGAGCACGCCAGCAGTGGGACAGCCGCGGCGCGCCTGGAGTGTCCCGCTGCCCGCGGCTTTGCTCCGCGTCTACCAGGTCAGCAGACCAGGGAGACGGAGCAAAGCCGTGGAGGACTTGGGCAGTCTCCCTGGTCTGCTGGAGGGGGGGTGCAGCTAGTGCCCCCCCCCCGTAGACGAGGCTTTTCTTGCCTACCCCTGGGGTAGAGCAGCTGGGGGCTGCCGGGTTGGTCCCGCAGTGCCGCTCCGGACCAACCGGGCAGCACCCCAGCTGCTCTGCCCCAGGCTTCCTGGAATCAGCCACTGATCAGTTTCAGCAGCGGCTGACACCAGTTCCGACTTACATACAGATTCAACTTAAGAACAAACCTAGAGTCCCTATCTTGTACGTAACCCGAGGACTGCCTGTACTTCGGACAACTAGGGCTGTCAATTAACGCGTGTTAACGCCTGTGATTAACGCAGAGCAGAATTAACGCGTTAAAAAAAATTAACATATGTTAATCTAAGGTTACCATACGTCCTGTTTTTCCCGGACATGTCCACATTTTCACTTGTTAAATCTCTGTCCGGACAGCTTTTTTAAATGGTAAAAAATGTCTGGGATTTTGCCCTGCAAAGGAGATCGGGGAGGGGGCAACAGCATGTGCCTGTCAAACGGGACGTTCGGAGCCGCGTGCCCGGATTGTTCATGGCTGCTCTGCAGATGCACCCCAGTGCTTGGAGGGAAAAGTGCGTGGCTGCAGCGGTGGCTCCAGTGAGACCCAGGGCAGGTCTGATGTGGGGGGGGGAGTTGGCTCCTCCCACAGAGTCACCGCATTACCATCCGCCCTGCTAGGTTATGTCCCCAGTTCTGCGGGAGGGGTGGGGCACTGGGTTAGAGCAGGTGGGCTGGGGGGGTGGCTGGTTCTGGGGCAGGGCAGGGGCACTAGGTTAGACCGGGGGGGGGGGGGGGCCGGTTTTTGGGGGGGGGGGGGGGGGTTTGGGTTGGGGGGGGGGGGG